GATCAGAAGAAATGCACAGAATTTCCTGAGGTACCACATTGCCATCTCATTGAACTTACTAATTCAAAAAATCAGAACATGGCCATCTCTGTGTGCAAGGCTGGTAGTGAGGAAGCTGGGTCTGATGTCTGTGTCGTCTAGGATCCTATGTGGCTCTGAGACACATTAGCACCAAATCAGCTAATGGTATCCTACTTCACCATCCAAAAAGGCAGAGAGAAGGTGTGGAGTTGTCTGAGATAATCTGAAGAGGTCTTGTTCTGAAATATTCCATCAGAGACTGGGTCATTTCTGCACCGAGAGCGAAGGTCTAGAAATTAAATCAGAATTGCCTTGGGAATTAGTGGATGATCAGCTTAGTGACCTCTGTCTTTGGTGAGTTTTATTCTCATCTCTGATCACTCGCTTGCATTTAACCTCCAGATGTTGTGAGCAATGTAATTAGTAGAAACATATGATTGTTGGTAGCTGGTAGATCATTGGGCAACATTGTTGGTACTATGGGAAACATCTCCAGGCAGTACCTTGCTGCTTGTGTGTCCTGAATATCATTTCATATTTCTTGAGATACTTGAGGGACGTATGTATAGTGGTGAGGAACAGGGCCTTTAGACTTGGAAAGTTTTATATTTTAATTCACTGCTGAAAAGAACTCTGATCTTGGGAAATTATTATTATTATTATTTTTATTGGTATTGGGGATCGAACTCACAACCCCCTGCTTGCAAGGCAGGTGTTTTTGCTGCTGAGCTAAATCCCCAGCCCTGGTCTTGGGAAATTATTAAAATTTTCATCTAGCAAAATTTGAGAATCAGTCTCTAATTCACAAAATAATTTCAAAGATTAAATAATATGATACATAAAGAACCAATATAGTACCAAATGACTAATAATGGTATGTAACTATTATTAGCTGCTGTACTATAGGTACAAAAAATGTTATCCTATTTTAAATATATGTGTTTCTTTTAATGCTTTCTAGAAGTCCATAAACAGTTTTCACTGATAAAAATCAAACCAATTAGGAAAGCACTACTTCAGTTTTAGAGAAAAGCCAGCCAGGGAGTCATTTGTAATTTCTCCAGAATTGCTGAGTTTCAAAGACCCTTAGATCCAGCATTCACGTTGATAGTATCCTTATTTTGATAGTATAGCCTCAAAGAAGTCCATTCAGTTAGTGAGGCAAGTTATTCGTTTCCTGAAATGACACGGGCTCCTCTACCCTGAGTTCTTGCTCTTCCTCTGTTTGATTTCTTAAAATAGTTTCTGAAGATTTTAACCACAACTGAATCAAAACTAACCAGCCTGTAATTTCCTGGTATGTCCCTATGGTCTTTCTTTTAAAACAAAACATACACACAAAATGGCATTGCATTGGCTGATTTCCAGTATTTCGGGGTTTTGACTGGAGTAAGCTGGAAAATGTCTGAGAAAGCTATTCTAACCTCTCTACGTTCCTCTTTGTTCCTTTGCTGAAGAAGGCTGTGTACTTGTGGCTTCCTGATGTTATATTTATCAAAATTAGGCAATTTTAATTTTGAATTGTTTTAAGAAAAATTTAACAATACTATTTGTTCATAGCTCCTCACACTTTCTATCTCTTCAATTCTAGTACACAAGAAAATGAGGCAATTTGTACAAAGTACATGAGATATGAAGAGAAAGAACTCTTTTCTACAAAAGATTAACATCATCTTAAAAAAGCCCAAGAAAGTACGGACTACTTATTTCAGCTCATAAATGAAAAGCACAGTTAGAAAATGTTGGCATTTACAAAAATTTTGTAAAAAGCAAAACATACTGAACTTTAGATTTAATCTAATTACTTAAATGGCTAATGACCTTTTCTATTAGTCATTTTCATCTATTTTTATGATTAAATAATTTCTTTTAGTTGAACTTTTAACAAAACTGAAATATTCTGATTCATAATTGTATTGATTGCAAGTAAATGTTCATAATTAATCTATAACATAAAAGTTGGGGTTAATACAAAGCAAAATATGAGTGAAAATAAAATTCAGATTAAATTAATACATAGTTTAGAACAGAAACCAATCAATTTATTTTAAAATAGTAAGAAACATGAAGACACTACATGAGACTAAATAATTGCTTCTATATTTGGTTGAAGAAATTTTTTTTGAATTAAGGATAGGCTGATAACATAGAACTAAAAATATAAAATAAATGTTGAGATAATTATTTAAGAAAAGTTCATTTGTAAAGAGAACAGTTTTAGCCATGCTTTAAAATATAATTTGGGGTTACTGTGCAGAATAAGTTATATTCTGTTGTTGCTAAAATATATTTATAGAAATAGAGTACATTCCTTCATGTACACTATTTGAAAATATTTAACATAGTGTTTCCAAATAGATAAACATTTTAAAGTAGATTCTATTTATTTGCAACTAGAGACCAGCATTTGTGCACCAGAAATTCACATTTTAAAATACTTTCAAAGTATTTGTAAAAATTTCTTTATAATATTAATGACATTAATTTCAAATTATTACTTTTTATCATATTAATTACTCAGCAAGCTTTCTTGCAAAACAGAAAGCACAAGCAATGTGCTGTAAGTTATTGAACTTTCGAGTCTGAGATATCTTTATTGCACTTGGCAGCTGAATATTATTTATCTTTCATTTCTTAGAAAAGTTTTGACTAAAACAGGATTAAACATATTGTGATACATTATATTTATATAAATATATTATAAAAATATAAATTACACTATTTTTTTTTTTTGCTCTTCCTTTTTCCCTAATATTTTCTATAATTACTGTTATGGGTATTTTAAGTTATTCATTTTTAAAAATTCATTTCCAAAAGTTAAACACAAAACATTCTTTGGGTTGCACAGATGTAAGCAATGTACTGTAATTAGCATTTGAAAGAAAACATTTATATGAATTTCATGTTGTGGTTAAAAAGCTGAAGATTTAGTCACTCCCCTTATAGAAATTACAGAATTGCATCCTAGGTTCAGGAAAGAGGAAAAATTTGGATAAAGCCCTCTTTTTGTTTTCTTTATTCATTTTCTAATGCACAGAATGGCATCAGTTTTACATACTTTCTATTTATTTTGCTTTCTGCCCAACTTCTGCCTGACAAGCATTAACCTCAATTGTTCCAACTGACCTCTTGGGCAGTGTTGTTGAAATGAACATAGATTACATCATCCCACATACAACTCCTTTCATCTTGCCTTTACCCCAAAAATACTTTCTGGAAAGTATTCCATTCCAATCAGTTTTCATCAATTATTTAGCACCTACTCATATGGTTTTTGACTCAGGGATTTGAGGTTGGTGCCTTGAGAATCCCCCAAAACAGACATTAAATTAGATCATGCAATTGTTAGCTCTTAATTGCGCAAAGACTTCTCTTAATTGTGTCAATTTTTTGTTTAATATCTACAGTTCAAACCCCAATTCCTTAGGAGTTTTTAAATTTTCAGCAAGTAAATTAAAATCATTTCCATACACTCAGCATCTTACAGCAATATTATTGAAGCTCACAATTCAAAGCATTGCTGAGCAACATAATAATGCAATAATATTTTTTATATCACTGCATGCTTTCAAAAAATGTCCTAAACTACCAGGATAGTGTATTTTTTTTACTTAAGTTTTGTTAACTGAAACTTGCAAAGTGTTCCTATAATAAATAATAACTGCCTTTGAATAATAGGTAATAAACAAGTAAATAGGTGCTATAGAAAAGTGCAAAACACAAAAGACTCAGTAATTTTTACAAGACTCACAGTCTACTTTTCAAATTCAGATTTCCATATGACCCTGGAATTTAAGCAGGCAAGAAGAGATGTTACTATACTGGTTTCAAATTTTCCAATTTTTCTTCTGCCAACTCTTAATTTTCATGAATAGTTCTCAAGGTACAGTCATTCCTTGCACACAATGGAAAAACTTTCAATAGAGGAAAATCTATACCATCAAGTGTATTCACTGAGTACAGTATGTACCATTCTAAAAAGATGCTATATAGACAAACTCTTTGAGAAATATAAAGCCCTATTCTGTTAGCATGGGATGATATTATTATTGTTAGTTTACAATTACTCTGTGAAGAACAAAGCTCAATTAAGAAACAAGATTTGGGGGTCTTGAATATGGTGTTATTTGTGTATATTTGCTTTTTCTTTTTCAATTAATTGATTTTGCCTCTTTTACAATTATAAAGAAACAACTTATTTTCAAATCCATGCATCTCATATATACATGTATGTGCACACATACACACACACACATTCCACATGCACGTACAGAAGCATTTGGTTTTCCAAAATTATTTCAACATGATTTGGAAAATAAGAAAAGTATTTCTCATTTTAAGCACTGATCATAACAAATGGAGTTGAACCTGGCATTGCTTTGCTAAAAGTATTTTTAAAAATACTATGCACATGCAAATGTTAATATTTTAAAAACACCCTGATTGATTTCCATAGGCAAATTAAATGAGAAATCCACATGTGAAGTAATGATCAGAGACATTTTATGAAAATAGGAGTGATGGATTGCTGGTAAAACAGTTACTTTATTATGAAGGTGCAGATATGCCTCTCTTTTAGTAGTCATTCTTATTGAATATCAACTAAAACAATTTAAGTAGTTAGATCCTGACTTGAAGAGTTTTTTACCCTCTCTTTTTATGTTTACTTCTCCTGACTCCCTGTTTCTTGCTGGGTCACTTTCTTGGTAAAAATATGAATATACTAACATAAAAACATGCTAGAGTATCTGCATTAGGTACTATCATTTTCATATATAAGGAGATTTGGTTTTAATGCATTTACCATAAATCCTCCCTCAGATCTTTGGAGACATTTTTCACTAAGAATCAGAGGTGACAGGTAGATCTGCCAGGTAACACTTACTAGTGACTTAAGAAGAGGAAGTGCTGTTGGGGAAACCCTGCTGTTATTCATTCCCGGATTGCCCAATTTAGACAACCCACATGTCATACAGTACCTTCTTTTCATTTTCCCGTCGCTGCTGGTCCTTTAATTTAATCTGGAGAAGTTGAGATTTCAGGAGTTTCCCTATCAATGGTAAGGTTAATTTCTCTCCACTATCCATAATTGTTTTTGCTGCAATTAACACCTATGAAGAAATACAATAATTAGACATTTTATAACCTTTGGCACAGCCTGTCAGTGTTGAAAAGATGAAAGAGTATTTTATTATATGTCTTGCAATATTTATCTTATTGTTAATGTGTTTCATTGCTGATCAAGGAAACAAAGAGGGGGATGGGAAAATAGGATTTGATTTTCTGGACATCAACTAATTTTTCCAGTAAGGCAGAGGGTGCTTCCCAACAGTGGTGTTAGACTCAACCCCCCGCAGAAAAGGGAAAGTGAAAGAGGCAAGGTCACAGTTTGGGATGAGCGACCGGTCACTTTCATGCTACAAAAAGTCTTTTGTTTGATACAACTGGTAGCGCAAACTGTCAAACTTTGACTTATTAGGACATTATAAATTAAATAAGGTTTTATAATAGTGGAAATGACTATGTTAGCAGGCTTTTACTTCTTGGTGACCAAATTCAAATGAAAGATAAAAGTGGCTTGACCCAGAGGCACCATATGAATGGTACCCCCCTTACAACTTAATGTTGATCTTTTTGGTATGCAGCCTAATTGGGGTGAAATAAGGTTATTGAGTTTTCTTTGGGTGACGACAGCCACTAGGAACATACAGCTGTATTGTCCAGATGTGTGGCACTGACAGCCTGTTTTATGACTGTGTTTTTTACAGCTTGTTTCCCCTAAATTTCACACAACTCTCTAACATCTGGGCCCTTTTCCTTGGAGTCCTATAAGCACTTTATTTACTGCAAAAAAATAAAATCACGTAAAATATACTATAAAAGTTGTTATGTGTTTCTCTTTATTTGTGTTGTCTCCTTAATAAAGTTCACGTCTGCCTGAAGGACTGTCACAGAAGTAATCTAACTGAAATATTTTTTAAGTTTTGTTTTTAAGTTAGCATCATACTTATTTATAACCTCGAGATGAATTAGGTGTTACTAAAATGTTCTGACATGCTGCTTCTCTCCCCACCCCCGAGAGCAATCACTTCTCGCTGTGCATATGGTGTCAATTTCAGGCCCTCAGTCTCAGACAGTGACCACGTGCCCTGCATCCCTCGAGCTGTGTCTTGTCTGAGGTTTGTACCAGTTCTCGGTCAGGGCTTCATGGTCAGCCCAGTCCCTTTGACTTTCTCTTTGCCAAAGGAAATAGCTGAAAGAGAGGGAGGTGCGTATTTCACTTCTAACTTTGATGACCACGTGGATTATCCTGTGCCAAAATGTAACTGGACCTCTTAGAGACCACATTGGGGTTTTATGCATCGTATGGCAGAATGAAAAAGGCAGGGAAAGGATTCCATTATAGTCATCTTTTCTCAAAATCAAAGAAACAAACCAAGCACCAGAAAGCTGCATGCATGTCTAACGGAGTACTCTCCAGGAAACACTGCACTCTCTGGGAAACATGGCAGCTCTACCCCTGTTAACACAATTTAGGAAAATGGACATGATGGCTATAATTTCTGGAAGCAAGAAAACTCACAGTACACCTGCAGAACCTCACCATTTAATGATGGCCTGATACAAGATGGAAGGAGATCCTATGGGGACCACAGGTCAGACCCTCACTATAAAATGAACATTGTTAGTCTGGGTCCAACCCCCCAAGAGTAGACATCTATATTTGGTTTGAAATGGAATTTTTCAATATCATTGAAACAGTATACTGATGGTCAGGCTGTTTCACAGCATCTGGTCCAAAATATATTCAAATTGGGGTTTATAAAACTCAGAGCAGCCTAGCATGGAATATTTATGTATCACAAAGATGATGACAATGTTGAAGGCACGTCAACACTGGAATGGGCTACCCAAATGACCATGGAGACTCTTTTCTTGATGATCTGTGAAAGAAGGACACTCACCTGTGCCTGGGGGCCGGGCTTGGGGAAGCCAGGCTGGCATCATAGTAATAGACAGGATGTCTCTGGAGATGCTTTCCAATATCTTGTGTTTTGAAGTCCATCACTGTGTTAATATGGACTCAAAACACAACAAAACATCCCCCAAGATATTCTACATATTGTAAAAGGTATTACTGGTCTGTGTAAAGTGCCTACAGAGTTCTAGGTTTCAAACACAAATCTAGCACATTGTCGAAGTAGCAGTGATGTCCTGTCCTGATCTGGGTAGGAGGTAGGTGATGGGGAGTGTCACTGGAATTGTGAACACCGGCATCCTCTCAACCTGTAGGTGGAGCCTAAGTGTAGTTCAGAGGAAGGCAGCATTTAGGAGCCCTACAGGAGCCTGAGAAGTGGTCTGTATAGAGGGGATACAGGACAGACAGGCCTGGAGAAGGCACAGCCTGCCCTCACAAGCTACTGTTAGCAGTGGTAAAGGCTGGGCATATTTCTCTCTGTGGCTGTTCCGAATAGATGCAAATGCCACTTTTATATGCTATCATGAGTCCTCAGGACAAGTAATGGAAATGAGAGTCTGTGCTGAATGTAAGTCAAAATGTGAGAATGAAATGTTCCTAGTATGTGGATCATCCCAGGAGACCAGAACAAGAAATTTCCTTACAAATTAATTTCCATTAAGAATGCTTTCTTCTAACACCTCAGAAGTCACAATGCCACCCAATCAGTGGCCAGAAGTTTGGTATCAGAAGAAAAACAAATCCTCAGAAGACCTATGTGTGAAAGGCATCTTTAGGAGAATTAATTGAAGAGGATACAAACTTTAGAGGAAATGTACATTTTCTCAGAACAGACAGGTCTCTCTACGGCAAATCTTTGGATTTATAGCAAAGTAAAGGTTGAGAACCCATAATCTGTGTGCTTGTGCATATCTGTGTATGGGTGTGTGCATGTGTGTAAGCACAAGATCACAGGAGTTGTAGGATGAACAACATGATATATCATGGTAGCAGCAAGGAGGCAAGGGGCAGGAAGTAGTTAAAGAAAATCTAAGCTTCCCAAACTAGGCAGCGAAACAGTTCTAAGTGGGGAAAGCCGGAGTACCATCAGGCCCAAACACCAAGCAAATATGCTTGGCATGAGTCAGAAATTTATGCTCACAAAAATGAGTCCTACGGGCCAAAAGAACTCATTCAAAATGGTGACAGTTGTTGACAAGCAAGACCTGAGAACCCCTGGACTTCCACAAGTCAGATCCCCAGGTAGAAGAGACTGGGGGGTCATGGATCCAGTCACTAAAACTTCTTTTTGTGGGAAAGACAGATTTAAGAGAAAACGATGTCTCCAAGATGGAAAGCCATCTTTATTGTATGAATTTGTTTTGAGGAGGTACAGATGCTCTTTTCACCATAGAAAAATTATGATTTCTAAAAGTATTAAGGGAAAAAATCACCATTTCTATATTTACCACTGATCTGGCTCGAAGGCATCATATTTACCATCCGCAACAAGTGGATCAATATTTTTCCTTGCTTCTCTAGGTCCTTCTCTCCCTTCTAGCCACTCCTCTTTTCTGCATTACCTGCTTACCATTAGTAAGCAGCACAAGCTTCTGTCTGCCTAGTATATAGAACTGCCTCACACATTCCCATGGTAACCAGATGGATGGATGGATGGATGGATGGATAGAATGGAAAACGATGAGATTTTCTGCTTGATTTCCTTGGCATGATTATAAAACAACATGCAAAGCAGCTTGAATCATAGCTTAACTTACATATTAATCATGAGAGGATGCGTACAATCTTTGGATCTGTATTTCTTTTGTTTGAAATAGGATGTGGGAGCAATGTGGTGGAGGAGAAGACAAGGTGAAGCTATGAAAGACAGAGACAGGGGTGATAGTCAAGAGATGGTCTGGGGAAGACTTTCTCTCTAGGACTTCCACATAGCCATTTCCCTTAAAGCAATCCATTGGTTTCAGAGACTTCCTTAGCAGTGAATTTATGTCAATAATTGCAATAATCCACAAAGTATGACTTCATATGCAACTCATTTTTGGGTTAATGATTTAGGATTGGTTTGGATATATAAAGCCTCAAAAGCAAGAGCAGATCTTTACTGTAGAACTTAATCCGTTCTGTACAAGGTTGAGCAAATAGGCTTTCGACTTGGAGAAGATTAAAATTTTTTTGGATGTCACACTTTTTGGATATTTCATAAGTATATGATTAATTCAACCAAGGAAAAATATTATTATGCCTCATCATGGCAAAAATCTAATACTGGAGGGGTGTTCTGTGAAAAGAAAATGTGTCTTCAACTCCTTCCATTGTCCCTTCCCCAAAGATAATCATGCTAAGTCTTGTGTATCCTTTCATAACACCCTGTACATGTGCAAACATATACGCAGACCCTTCTTATGCTTTAAACAAATGAGATCATGTTATTCATGTTAAGTGATTTTTTACATAAAAATAATGTTTTTTTACATAAAAACATATCTGTGTCATTTAATACTTTTTTAAAGTAAGCAGTAGAGTCTTACATGATTATTTTTTAAAACTAGTTCTGTACAGATGGACTTTTAGATTTAGGCTATTTACTGTTTTCTATCAAGAGTATGAACATTTTTGTTAGTAGCATTCCTGTTCTTACCAACTCTGCGTGAAAAGATCTCCAATCCTTTAATACTGAATATTCTCCAGCTTTACATCTTTGTCCGCATTGGTGCTGATGGAATTTCAGTGATAATAGAAATATTAAGTGTCTGTGCAATCTGGTGTGGTAGTTACTGGCCACAGATTCCTGTTGAATAGCTGAATAGTGTTACTCAGGAGACCAACGAGCTTAAGTTTTTAGTTTTACTTTTTACTTGATTAAATAGGTACAAGGGTTAGTGGCTACTGTTTTGGTATGAGTGTGCCTAGATGAAAGTGAATAGAGCATCTCATTTAAAATTATGTAAGCATTCCATCACCTTGTCCCTATTCTTCTGCCCCAGGTAGAAAGTCAACTATTCAGCACCACCCTCAGCATATTTTATTAATATAGGAGATGGTCGCCCACATTTATTAAATAACAATCATATACTCAGATTCACACAGTGGCGCAGGTGAGAGGAAATGAAAATCCAAGGCTCCCAAGCCAAG